ATGGCCATGAGTGTTGTGTCTACAAGGTATTGCATGACACGCAGTTTAAGGTTGTAGAAACTACAGAAGTAGAAGCACTCTGTTGAATTGTCTATCGCCCACAAACATTTGGAAACTTCAAATGTTTCCACTTGTAATATCCTCTTCGACATTTACCTTCCAAGATGCAAGGATATGTATTCACTTATAAGTAGAGAACATGAAGCAACCAGCACTAATGCCCAGCACTGATAGAAAATATCCTGGTGATTATATTTACATCTTTGAAGAATGTGAGAAAATGAATAAAGCCATTTTCAACTCGTTTTAACACCATTCTCAGTTGTAATGGCTTCCCAGATGTGGTGTAGAGAGGATTGACGGCCGAATGACATCCACCCCCCTCATGGGATTCTGTGACAGCATCAGCCACCAGACTCAAAACATTGATTTCTTCCACGCTACTGTGGTTATGGGGAGAAAAGTGAAATTTTCACACCTTGGAGTAAGTTAGCTTTGTGCTGCCAACGATGACAAAGCCGAAATCGTCAGGTTTTGGAACAAGTAAACCTTTCCAGATTACACATCAAAAGCATTACTTTCACAGTTGTTGGCACCATTGCTCAAATCTACATTCGGATTGTTGCTGGCTCAGTACCTCGATACATTTCAAGATACAATAAAATACAAAGCAAGCAATCTTTATATTTACTTAAAAGTTATGCATACGTGAAATTGAATATTGTTTTGCGAATAATCTTTTATAACCAACAATCTCACAAATTATACGGATGAAGCATCAATGTATACTAAGTTAAGCGGAAGTTGCTCTGTAAGCATAAACTGTAAACTTAATTAACCCTGATCTCTCTACTATTAGATAATGGCCTCCCTACACTGACGCCATGCCTAACGGTCTTGTGGTGCCACAATCCATCCTGCTTATGCACGTGAACTGGTTTTATCATTCCATCTCCACAGTGTTGTCACCTTTGGGAGTATTACCTCCTCTTACCTGCCATTCCATGACCAGGCGCATTTGTTAGCTACTATCCCTTCTAGCGATGTCCTGCTCAAACCCACTTATTTCCCTTTACAGTCATTCTGATGACCCCAATTTAAATGTCCTCTCTAATCCACATGCTCCTCTTTCTGTTTCTCAGCGTAATTCCCAGAGTGTATTTCTCCATGATTTTTGTATACTTTCAGAACGTGATTCACGTCTCTGATCCATCTCTCATAGCAGACAATATTCACTGCTTCGAAATGTTCCTCTTCAGAGACACATTGGTATTTTACTTTTCATTATCAAAGTTTATTGTTCAAAAGTCTTACGTCCTACTCTGTATCCATCATTGTGATCCCGGTATGCCTTAAATATTGCCCTAGGTATATATTTTGTGTTTTAGTGTTCTCGTTCCAACAATGATTTTCCTTTGTATAGCAAACCAATTCTACGTGACTCTTGTTTTGCACACATTTATTTTTATTTGTTAATTTTCCTTGCTTGTTATCATGGATACATCATCAGAAAATCTAAAATCGCTAATATATTTTTCTATTCAGTTTTTTTTTATTTTAAATATATTTAGGTTTGTATGTGCTTTTCAATTTTCATAACACATACTCTCATGTTGCTATGAATAGCCTTTTGTGAGTTTCTCTACATCTGTGACTTCGAGCACCATCTGTTCCTTCACCCTCCCAGCTGACTCCATAACTGACTGGTGGATCGCTATGATTTTAGTTCACCATTCATGGGGGGTCATTAGACTATACTTTACCATGCTGGTCACTGGGGGATTGGTAAAGATACCTACCTGAGCAAAGAATGCACCACGACCATGCAGGCATTATACTAAGCTCTAATTAGTAAGATGGGGATTACATATATTTATTAATCGCATGATGATGCAATTGTGCAGAAGATCTTTTTAAAATACTGATTACAACTTATCCAAGCAAAGTTTAAGAGTTGAAAAACGAATGTAAATTAAAACCCGTTGAAATGTTCATGTGACGAGCACTACACAAGTATTTATTTTACTAACATTGACATGACAGCCTTCAAAATCAAGGCCATGCAATACCATTAGCACACAAGTTGCAGCTTTCCATTTGTCATTTTAATTCGTTCATGCTTTGGGCAGCCAATTTAAGCAGTGGGGACATGCTAGGCACTGTAGAGAACAATAATTTGCCACGTTTTTACTGTCATCTCTGGAATACTTTGTTCATTTAAAGGTGATCAATTTTTACATGTCAAAACATTCTAAATTGGCTATTGCACTGCATCCAACAATCTATTTTCCCCAAGGCATGTTTTCTAAGTGCAAACTATTGAGCTGACACATTTTAGTTTGCGCATGCAACTTTATAAATTATCCATATCAAATTTGCATTCAGATAAATATGTTACATGCATGAAGTGAAATGTGAAAAACACATGTAAGTGATGCTACATGTGAAAAACACCCTAAAATACTGCAATAACTGAGATGAACATCATCATAAGTTTGTAGAATTTATAATTTTGAATATACCAAAATATAGACAATGATCACACACAAGAGCATTGTTTTCATAAGTTCTATATCTTGGCAAATAGGTGGTTGGGACATTGTGTTAAATCACCCAAAGATATTTAAAGAGTAAAAAAAGTGCTGAGGAGAGCCTTCTGAAATATGTCCTGTCCTTGCTAATTATTAGGGTGAAAATGTATACATTTGTCAGAAAGCCATCAATGATACCAATTGAAACTAATTGAGCCATATAAATTAAAGCAATTGCCATTATTTATCAAGACTTGTTATTTGCCTTATCTACAATGACTTATATCAATTGACACAATGGAATGATGAAAAATAATATTTCGCAGAGTAGCATCATTCTCTGTTGCTGATTATTGTATGTGGAGTGTCGTATATCAGGTCAGATGCAAATATATTTCATAGGCAGATCGAGAACTGCGTGAAGGACTAAGTTGTTTACTTGCATTACTATGAGAGAGCATTTTGATTTAAAGCTTTCGTGACTGCAGGGATTAATATTATTGGTTCTTTCGGTAAAGTCACGTAGAAGGGTAATAATAAAATAATACAAATATAAAACAATAAAATTCTCACGACGTTTCAATTACAATACAAGCAATCATCATCAGGTGTGAAATCCACAGCAAGAAAATTTGAAAAAATAAATTCTTGCTGTGGATTTCACACCTGATGACGATGACTTGTGTTGTAGTCGAAACGTCGTGAGAATTTGTATTGTTTTATATTTTCATTATTTTATTATTTCCCTTCTACGTGACTTTACCGAAAGAACCAAGAATATGAGAGAACATGTTTGGGGTCAAGAGGAAAATGCGTTCTCTTGTTTTTGTGCATTCTTCCAATTTACTTTCAGTCGACCCAGATGATTAATGAATGAATGTCGGTTGAATTTACAATGAGTGTAATAAAATAGATGGCAAACCGTATTCAATACCACAACAAAATAAAACATAATAAAATCAAATAATTCTCACGACGTTTCGGCTACAACGCAAGCAGCCGTCTTCACCTGAAGCAGCCGTCTTCACCTGAAGACGGCTGCTTGCGTTGTAGCCGAAACGTCGTGAGAATTATTTGATTTTATTATGTTTTATTTTTATTATTTTATTATTTCCCTTCTACGTGACTTTACCGAAAAAACCAAGAAGATGAATCCCTGCAGTCACGAAACGTCGTGAGAATTATTTGATTTTATTATGTTTTATTTTTATTATTTTATTATTTCCCTTCTACGTGACTTTACCGAAAAAACCAAGAAGATGAATCCCTGCAGTCACGAAACGTCGTGAGAATTATTTGATTTTATTATGTTTTATTTTTATTATTTTATTATTTCCCTTCTACGTGACTTTACCGAAAGAACCAAGAAGATGAATCCCTGCAGTCACGAAAGCTTTAAATCGGAATGTTTTAATATCATGAGAGAAGGAACCATTTGCCATGCCTAAAATCACATTTTATCTTGTGCATTTCAAATGCCATGGAACCTTGGGGAAGCCTTTACAATCATCTAGCTTTTAGGGCACGGCTATTCCCATGGCTGTAAACCTGGTAAATGTTATGGTGATAGTAATAATAATAATAAGATGGAAGTAGGTGCCATCGGTGAAGGTCATGGTGCAATCAGAGTGAGTTAACTTGAATTCGACTGACCTTTACAATTGTGCCTGCAACACTACATGTTGTCTTAAAACTTTCGTGACTGCAGGAATTCATATTCTTGGTTCTTTCCACAAAGTCACTTATATAGAAAATAAAAATAATAAAATAAATTGAAATTTCGAATTAAAAATACATTTCAAATAAAAGCAAAAAACCCACGACGTTTTGATCACAACACAAGCGGTCTTCATCAGGCGGAGAGAAAAGAAGACAACTTGTGTTGCGATCGAAACGTCATCGGTTTTTTGCTTGTATTTTCAATTAATTTCAATTTTTTATTAAAATTTGTAATTTCATTTTATAATTTTTCTTTTATTTTCTATCTACGTGACTTTACCGAAAGAACCAAAAATACACTACATGTTGTTTTTATCACTTAAAAAAAACATCACTCTTAAAAACAAGCAATATCATGATGGTGTGGAAATATAAAGCCCTATAATAGCAATGTAAAATATTGTAACAAAAATACGATAGCTTTAACAGCATCTGAGGTGTGAGCCACAGCGAATGTGATAACAAACACTCTGCATCCATATTCTAGCCATCAGAATGTGAAATCAAAAAAACTGTGGGTTAAATATGTATGTTGAATTTATGTCGCACCGTACGTATACAACCGTGCTAATCAGAGGTGTGAATTAAGGTGGCTTGGATTTACTTTTGAGGGTCAGAGTATGATATGTTTCTGGAGAATTGGCCTTATTCCAACAAGTGTATTTCTTAAAATGTTGCTTGTCAATGGCATTTAATGGTTGTGTTCGTGAAGAAGCTCAGTTCATAAGTGTCTGAGTGAGGCAGTTTTACCTCCAGGTCAATCATCTCCCGAGGGTCTGGTGCAGGGGGATCGGAGTGGCTGTCGACCACCTGGATCTCTGCCTGCTTCATCTCCTTCTCCAGAAAGCCTGCATCAAGAAGGGACATGATTTAATTTACATGGTATGGCCACATTAGGCAAATACATTTTAAAAGACATGCAAACCACCAATGTAATGAAGTTAAATTGGTGGTAATGTTTTTTGATTGTACACATTCAGGAAAAGTAAATTCTTCACTAATTACCACTTAAGTGTATTGAATTTTCTCTTCATATGCATTGATTTGTGCCACCATATTTATACCGATCCATAGCAAAGGCTAAATATTTGCCAACATTAATTGCGGCTATGTGCATGCAAGAGTGTACCACAAACACGTTTACTTGAAAAAAACACGTAACAAAATATTTTTGCAGAAATAATGCACGTTTTGAAACGCGAATAATTTTTTTTAAATTGCGTACATTTTCCATACTTTTTCAAACCTATTTGGACAAAGTATGGCCGAGAGATGTAATACATAAAATTTAAACAAGACAAAAAAAAGATTCTTGCTCTGAATTGTGACCCAACATCGTAATATTTAATGATATAACTTTGGGGTTTGAACAGGATGTGTGCATATACTGTACATCTGAAAGAAAAAATATAAAAGTAAAACATTCTGGTAAAGTTGTTTTCCAATAATTTGAGCATGGGGTGGTGGTCAACGCCTGTTTACATCCCTGAACCAGTGGTGGAGATTCCATATTCCTATGATGAGGGAAAGTTTTTCCATGGGATTTCCACTGTTGACTTCTCCACAATAATGGGCTGAGTAAACTGGGGTATAATGGGTTGAGGAAACTCTGGACCAGGATTTGATGCTCCTGCTGTTGTGGAATGGCTCATGCAGCCAGCTATGGCTGCAAGGTTTTGGTAGTACATGTTTATGCCATTTATTGTGAAAATTCCGTCACAGTTCCTATGATTGCTTTTTCATTGCTTTCATGGCTTTATTTTGGTGATTTCGAAAAGTGTATTGGTTTAGCCATGTGTGTTTGTTGTAGTACAGAGTTAGACTGATGGCCTTAATCTAAGTTGTCTTATGGTTGTTGTTGTTGTTATTGTTTGACTTGCATCCCACTGGGATTTTTGCACACAGCGTTGGTGTACGGTGTTTTTTTCTGCAATATTTTGCTGTCTTTTCTTGGATTTTCTGTTTGCACTTAGTCACATATTCACTTTAAGATGTTTTTTGTTATGTTTTTGTTTGTCGCGGTTGCACCCGATTCAAGAGCCGAATGGCTCACAGGGCTATACCTAATAAATGAACTTGAACTTGCAACCTTCCGAATGCAAACACTTTACCTTCCACCACCCCCACCAAATTGCATACACACAGCATGTGTATAACATACACAAAAACAAATAAATCAAATTTACAAAGTCCCAATCCCCCTTCTAAGCTAAACTATTGTGTTGGTTAAACTGCTGCTAACAAGTGTCTATGAGGTATTGCCTCTTAAAAAATTATGAGGTCAGAACCACTCTAGGTGCCTTTTGTCTCCTTGTTATAGAGAAGAAGAAAATGCCTATTTCTGTGGACACAAATTAAGCGCACTTTTGCAGGCACTTACATAGGCTGTGTTTACCTCCGAGGTGCTAGCAGGATGCAAATGTCAATGCAAGTAATGTGCATGCCCTCCAATCATATTGATACATGTGTAGTGACATAGAATGGGTAACTAGGGCACGGAGCGCTGGTTGCTGGCAGAGAGGGGGGTCTGAGGGTGTAGCAGCCCGGTCTGCCGGCAGGGCATGTGATAGGCCGGGGAAAGGGATGTAGGGCAAAGGTGATGGAGGGGACACGTGAGGTGAAGCCGAGAACCTTCTGGTAGGTTCCAGAAGGGGGCGTGGCCGAGGGCGGAGCCAGGCCCGCTGGGGGGATAAAAGGGAGGCCCCGCCCCAGGGTCGGGGCTGTCGTCTGGAATGGAACCCGTCATGCTACCAAGTCTTCGTCCCCGTCTTCGTTCTCCCCTTCACCTCCTCGGCGTTGTTGGTCAGGCAGTGTGCGATCTGTCCTGACCATAGCATAGTTAGCCCCTGAAACTGTGATGGCTAGAATAAACGAGAGTGCCTCCTACTATTCGTGTATCTGCAGTGATTCACGACACATGTGTATATCCAACATTTTGCTTCAGCTCACAGCTAGCATACATTATAGACAGCCACAAACATACTATTCCCTATTTAGCCATGTGCACTAGAAGAAAAGTAATGTTAGCAAGCACCTATTAAAGCCAGCACACCACATGACGATGTGGTGTCACAACATCATGACGAACCACCTCTCTCTTCCAGTTGTGATACAATTCACCAAATCAGATATTTGTTTTAGGATATATTTATCTCGGGTAGGCCCTAATAAGTTTCAGATTACAATTGCTATTGGCATTGCACATGATCAATACATAGAATCAAATCTGGATTGGTGGGATTGTAGCTCAGGGTGATAATAATTAGGGTGATATCAGGGTGATGTAATCACTATGCCAACGCCATGACACGTAACTACCGATACCCTGAATGATACGTAACTCAAAGGAGATTTTCTGACTAAAGAGGTTAGTTGTGCTCAAGCTGCTTAAAAAATTCGTTTTACTCATGGCAGTACTGAATGTCCCCACTCTCATTACTTGTGGCTGATAAAACCATTTGTGAAGAGATTCATTTTCAGTGAAGGAATAAACATATCTTCATATAGTCGCGTCATGTTCTCTGAGATGTGCATTACATCCTATAATTTGTATCCCCTTATACCATCACTTTCAGTGATTGCATGTGGCAGAACTGCATTAACGTGCCACATGCAGCACGTGTAATTTTCTGTGCTTTATGTCGCCACTTTTATTAATCATCACATTTTTAAATGTGGTGGTTATAAATTCACGTTTTGAATATCATAAGCGGGTTCACCTTCCATTCAAAAGATAGCACAGGAGGGGATTTTATTTTGAAATCAGTGTGGACCTATTTAGTCGCTCTTTATCAGTGCAAAACAGAAGGTGTTAAAGTTTTGCTCATGCTTCTATCCTAACGTTTGTATTCGTATATCGCAAGGCTGTAGCCATGGAGTCAACATTAGGGGGGACGAAATCTTCCAGGGGTTCTGGGGTTCCCCCCCCCCCCAAAAAGAAATCTAAATTTAAAAAGAATTTCCTTCCTAAAATATAAAAAAAAATCACTAACACATGGGATGGACTTTTTAATTTTTTACAATGATGTCTAATAGTGTATTGTATTACATTGCTGTTTTTTTTTACCTTTTCTTGTTTCATTGTATGTAATGGCAGAGATTAGGGATTAATAAAGTACAACCATAACCACAATCATATAAACAGACGTCTATGCATTGTTATATGAAGACAAGTCCAGATATTGTGGCCAACGTTTAGCAAATTGTTGTTTTTATTTACACATGTACAAGTAAACTTGGGTGGTCAACAGAGGCGTTTGCTCTGCTCTCCTCTCCTCTACAGCCCTCTCTCCTCCTCTCCTCTGGTCCTATATTCTCCTCTCTTCTCCAGTCATCTCTTTCCCTCTCCCCCATGCTCTGCAGTCATTTCTGCTCTTTTCCTCTGCTCTCCTATCCTCTCATCTCCTCTCCAGGCAATGACAAGTACTTTGACTTGCCATTCTTCAAGCAAAGAATCCCAAGGCCTTGTTGTGCTTATCGTTGACACCAATAGAAGACTTCAATATTCCTTCAAGGTCCAGTTTCTCTTGGTGCACGTGACACATGGCCACATTTTTCAGCCTTGTTTGACTCATCGAAGATCTAAGCCATGTCTTAAGCCTCCTCAGGGCACTAAAACTCCTCTTAGTCTCGACAGAGGAGGTAGGGACAACCAGCAGAAGCCTTACTAAAGCTTCCACCAGACTGATGAGGCATCTCACCTCTGGCACCATTTCCCTAATAATGCTAGCAACATCTGAGCTCGTTTGATATGTGTAATTAGCCCCACACATGGCCAGCTGCACATGCAGTAGTCTTGAATTCAATTCAGGAGACTCGTCTACCACCTTGCCCATGTCTCCATGTAGCAGCACATTTTCAAGCTGCTGCAGCTTGATCAAACCTCTATGAATTGAGTATCCACTGTGTCCATGCGTTGTAGAATTGGACTCTGTACAAAGACTGGGCATCTGAATGGATATAGGCTGCAGCCTGACAGGTGTAACGCTTTGTAGATTTGCGGACATGAGGCATCTGAATAGGTTGTAGGTCCAACTTTGTTGCCATAGCAGTATCTTGTGCGAATAAGACATCAAAGTGCTCCTCCTTTCGACAACCTCCAACATGCCTTAAACAGTCTGTTTCCTAAGCTGCAGGGAGGTGTTCAGGCACTCCAAATCCCCCATCAGGTATTCAGCCATTACATGGCCGAGCATAGTGTTCCCATTTAGAAATGTTCCATGAAGACCATTGGCCTTAGTTGAAGTGTCAGATGAGCTGCATTATGCCATTTCCTCAAGGACTGTCAGCACTGACTCATACTGGCTGAGAACTGAGCAGATGGCAAGGGTGCGAACAGTCCACCTGGTGGGACAGTAAGGTTTGAACGAGGTGAAACCATGCTCTGATTTTGCGATTTCCTGGAAAATCACCTTGAACGTGCCAGATTGATTAAAGAAGCCCCTCAATTCATGCACCAAATCCATTGATGATCTTACTAGTGGGTAACTAAGTTAACGCTGTGTGGACCACAGTGACACAATAGAAACAAAGAACCCACTTTAAGGAGGGGCTGTAATGGAGTCAAGTATAATTTTAAACCATTTCTGCTGAAAGTAGAGTGTTCTATTTGATAGGGTTTGACTCGGTATGGAATTAACATTTGGCTGATTTGGGCGAGGTCCAAGCTCCTCCCCTCCCTCTCCTTTACCTCCATCTTCGCTTGCCTGTCTGCTCTCTCTTTCTCTGTCTGTCATTGTCTCAAACTCACTCTCCCTGCTTGATTGTATTATCTGAAATACACATGAGAAGCCATGCTTAGAGGAATATCTCAGCTTAAATTAACATGAGGATTAGACTGTTGTGATGC